ACCCAATCCATATCATCCCATACTATTTCTCTGAAATCCATTTTAATATTGTCCACCCACCTACAGCTTGGTCTTCCCAGTGGTCTATTTCCTTCTGGCTTTCCCAAAAATTATATGAATTCCTCTTCTTCCCCATTCATGCTACATGCCCTGCCAATCTCATCCTCCTTGACTTGATCATTCTAATTATACTTCGAGAAGAGGACAAGTTATGAAGCTTCTCATTATGTAGTTTTCTCCAACCTCCTGTAATTTCATCTCTCTTTGGTCCAAACATTCTCCTCAGCACCTTGTTCTCAAACACCCTCAGTCTGTGTTCCTCCCTTCATGTCAGAGACCAAGTTTCACACCCATACAGAACCACAGGCAAAATTATAGTTTTGTATATTCTAATACAAAACTATAATTTTGCCCGTGGTTCTGATGCTGGAAGCAGCATCATCAGCAGCGACTTGAACCACGGAGCAAATGATGCTCAAGATAGTTCAAGTTCATATAGCAACAGGCGTGACCAGAGTGGTTTGAACGGCTGTTGTACTGCGATGTGGAAAGCAAATGGAAAAACTACCATATTATCACTTTTCCTGGATAGTCTCTTTCCAACAACACAGATACCATGTATGCAAGATGTTTCCTCTGGAGACAAAAGAAACCGGAGGGGCAGATAGAAGTGCCCAGAAAACAAGGAAGAAGACGTAAGAAGATGCTGGATAGCCTTGCAGGCAGAAGAGGATATTTTAATTGAAGGAGAAAGCTTGAGATCGCATTAAGTGGGGAACTGTTTTGGAAGAGACTGTGGACTTGTTGTCTGACAGATTACTGATGATGAATATTCTAATTTTTGTGCTTTTAGACAGCAGAAGAGAAGACAAAAGGTTCTGGACTGAATGGTATTACCCGAGTTCAATCTCCTCTTAATTTCCTCCTGAATCAGATTTTCATTTGTTGTAGTCATTCCCAAATATCTGAACTGTGCCACATTTTCAAAACATATGTTTCCTATCTTTATGTCATGATTTTGCCCCGAATTCTGGTGACGAGATAGCAACATATACTTAAGTTTCCTCTGTGTTTACTTCTAGACAAACCTCCTTACTAGCGTCAATTAAAGTTTGTGTGTTTCTAGTTATGGTATCTATATTATCACCCAGTAGATTCACATCATCAGCATAGACCAACAGCTGATGTGTCCCATTTAATTTCAGTTCCACCTGGTTTTTTTGGACCTTCCTAATGGCATATTCTAAAGCCAAGTTGAAAAGCAGCAGCGATAAAGCATCTCCTTGTTTTAGACCATTCTGGACAGGAAGATTATCAGACAAATGTTTACCTACACGGGCTTTATCATACATTTTGTTTAAACATAACTTAATCAGCCTGACTAGTTTCATGGGTGTCCCAAACTCTATCAGAATATTGTACAATACTTCCCTTCTAACTGAATCACAGGCTTTCTTGAAGTCTATGAATAGCTGATGTACTGTCTCATCATACTCCCATCTTTTCTCCAGTATCTGACAAATGCAAAAGATCTGATCAATAGTTGATCTGTTACATCAAAACACTGATGATCCCCAATAATTTCATCTATGTATGGACTTAACCTTGAGAGAAGAATATTGGATGAAATTTTACATGAAGTTGATAGCAGTGATATCCCACGATAATTACTATAGTCAGTCTTATCACCCTTTGTAACCATACAATGCAAAGGACCACAATGTTTTGTTTGCTTGTGTCGGTACTTGTCACTACATACAAGCAGATGTAATACCTCACACCCCACTCAAACCAGAGGGACCTGAACCCAGTTGAAGTCAGGCCTCCCTCCTACCCGAGCATGCTATGTAATTTGGAAATAGAAAGAGAGACACCCAGTTGACACAAAAAGGGGAAGGTACTTTGGGACGAGCTAGAAATTTCTAAAGAAGCAACAGCTTGAAAGTTTGCTTACACAATTACGAGAAGGTAAAGTTTATGACGGGTCACAATATCCGGACTTAAACCAAACCAGCCAGAGCTCTTCTTACTTTTACAAAGAGTCCTATGCTCTAATAAAAGAGAAATCTGTCCAAAAAGACGCTGGAGAGAACCTTTCATTGCTTAGAGAGATGGTCCTCTGACCAGTCATAACTCTCAGACTGTTAAAAACTTCTTTTATAAAGGGGCTGCGAACTGTTTCAATAGTCGAGGAAAGGGACCACTTTTCAACACCCGATTAGTCACGGAAGTAAAATGTTTTAGGAATCCAAATATTACCCACTATCTTGTAGTGGAGAAAGAAATTTAAGACCTTCTGAATATTCTTTAGCAAATTCCCCTTCATTCAAGTTCTAAACATCATTCAATAACCTTTTTCTCTGGAGCGTAACGAATGTGACAATTTAGGACTCAAATTCGTCACAGACCTACTCTTAGAAGACCGTGAGATTGAACCCCCTCGATCCACCCCATGTCAGAAAGATTGTGAAAGCGCGAGAACCCAACTTTCACCACGAAACAGCTGACTATTGGAGGAATGATAAACTCGATCGAACCCCTGCCCCCTGTTGTCTAAATCCAGCCAGCGCAGGGATTTGGAGGATGGCAACGAGGCGTTCCCAAATTTCACAGGACCTCTGAATCTTCAAAAATGGAGAGCTGTTTTCAGGAGTCTTGCAACAACAGTTAAACTCACCAGATGCGGAGCTAGCCCTCTCGATCCGACTGTTAAATGAAAATAATATCAGGAAAATTAATATTGAAGAAGAAACGCAAGTGAGTGCAAACTGGTGACCCTCTCAGACCCCACACACGCAGTGGTAGCGGTAACCTATACAAGTCCCCAAGTGCTACGTAATAGTGATAACGGTGCATTGTGACAAGGCTTGCAGGAGTGTGTAACCAAGCAAGAACAACTCGCTCATTTTGTAGAATCCGAGCTCTCCTGTATGAAGCGTAGTAAAGTAACAATCTGAGTTGTATCTCAGTGACTCCCAGATTACAAAAACAATAAAGGAAGTGGAGCCAAGTGCTTATGTTTCCAGTGTGTTCTTTTCTCCCCGTCAGAGTAAGGCCCAAGAACGACCTGAGCCAGAGTCTCACTCCACCCATGACTAGCCCGATCACTAACAGCTCCCTATCCCATCCACCTTTTCCCTTCACTTCGCATCTGTATCCACAGTTGCTGGTGCCCACAGACAAGCCAGGTCAAGTCCCGGACCTGATACCCCTTTCCCATAGTGAAGAGAAGTGGTGAAGTCAGAGAAGCGGTGGAACCAGGTAAAGCCCGACCTAACTGCAAGCCCAACAACCAATGACGGCAGCGGCAACAATGGCAAGAGAAAGGAAGGACGGTAAAACCTTCTAATACTGACTGACACACTGCTATTTATTACTGTCTCTTTAGATCCTATCATACTTAACGGAAACTTGCATTACAGATCATTTCCATGTAAATGATAGAACAGCACATAAACAAACATTATGATAAACACTGCCCTACTTAGACTATATACAAAGGTAAAACTTGTAACCGTTCATCATAATTTTGTCGACTATTTTGTATTAATTGAATTTATAATAAGTAATATCAAGTAAATACAAAGAGAATCTGGCAAATAGCCAACTCTTACACGCAGAAGGGACATAGTTCAAGTTTTGCTATGTGGACAGGAAGTAACACCTGGTAGTTTCCTGGAATTCTGTCAGTTTCAGCAAAGTCGGAAAAGTCTTTGAGAATTTGAGGGCTGACAGCTTGGAACAGCTATAACTTAGAAGTGGGAGGGCCAGAGCCTCATCCCCTGGTCGTAATGCATCAAGTCCCTGTCAACCTTAGCGTCAGGTCAGCAACTGCCAGAATCACATAGCAAAGCAACCTGATTGGAAATTCACAAATTTAGGGAAACTCTTAGTTTGAAAACTTAACCAATGGCAAAAGTGGAGGAGTGGATTTCTCTTGGAGTCTGTGGTTCGTGGACCTCTGTTTTCAGAGAGTGCATTCCACCTCAAGGAGTCTGCATCCAACTTTCAGCCAAGTCAGGCACAAATTACAACTACGTCCCTTCAGTAAACGTATTATAAGTAAATTTCTAAATAAGTGTTACTAATAGCTTCCTTTGTATTCAGTGAACGGAAGTGAATTAAATAATTACTAAGTGCAAAAGTCTGAAGTGGTGAGTGTGATTGCAAGGAAAGATTCTTCCTGCCCTGCCCGAACCAGACCCGTATAAGATCCAGGGGTAAGAACTCATCTCTACCAATTACAGAACAGAACCCAGATACTCCCATCTCTCCCTACTTGCGAGACACTTAATGGTAGTACTGAAACCAAACTCTCGCCTACAAGCACCAACAACCAAAATCTTCCTCCCTTCCCACCTAACTTCTCGCCATCGATGAGAATAAGGAGAAGGGCAGTAACTCCAGTGGAGGTGTCCAGAAAGAGGTGCAGGTGAACCGCAACACCAGAAGGAAGAGGACGGTGATAAGTGGAGACCAATGTAAGGGGCACAACGAAGTGAGTGGTTATAAGCTATCCATGTTAACAGGCTGTGGAGGCCCACTTGGTTGTGAGTCATCGAGACACTCACATTTTATAGACAGCCAACTCACAGATGGTGGAGAAGTTGTCAGGTTTATGTACCGGCTGTCCTTTACCCCCAGGAAGATACATGGTACTTATTCCTGTTAGAGGCTGAGTCAACCCCAGCGCCATAGTACAGACAGAAGGATTAGGTCAATTGAAAAATCCAATGACTTCATCGGGAATCAATACTGTGACCTTCTGGCTTGTAGCATACTGCCTCAACCAACTATGCTACCATGTGCCCCCTCAATGGAATGAAAGATTAATTAATTAATCAATGTGACTATTACAGCATGACTATCAATGCATTAATCAATTCAAACTTCAACTTAAGTGAACTTACGTAAATTCTGGAAGTGACTTTTCCTTCACACACCAAACGTAATGACTCAGAAGCCTGCACAGGACACCATGTGAGTAAGTAACAAGTAACTGATAATGATGACAAAGGTGTTTATTTGCACTATTTCATATTTCTTGTTTCCAACACACTTATATAATTGATACACATATCCTTAGAAACATAATAAACATATCAATCTTTGCTGTGCTACTGCTGCCTACATGTATGAAAGAATTCGGAACAAGTTCAATGTGTTTCACACACCACTCAGTTCCCATTTTACTATACAGATGAAGTTCAACACATCAGAAACATCTATGACAAAGAGATCAATTAAAAAAACTGGTCCCACTGATTTATTATGAAAAAATCAGAGTATCAGACACATTAATCAACTCTCATTCAAATATTCTTGAAAAGAAAATTAAAGGAAAAATTCAACAGTTTCTGTATCTCATCATTATTTCCTTTGCACTGTTTGGGTCACTACTGACATTCCATCAACAAACTTCGTTCGAAACAGCACATTAGCATTGTTGAACATCCCATCTTTCAGAGATACAATGATAAACTGTAAAAGAAGGAATCCAGGTTAAAAACTTTTCTTGATATCCACCTAAGTGATGGATCAGAGATGAAGCCTCAAATGATGTTTTGATATGTGCTAGTCAGGCAAGGTGTGCAATGGCATACCCTGAGTGCAGGGATAGATAAGCATGGAGCACTGGGTAAACTGACAAGGGTAGCCAAAGTAACGGAAGAAAAAACCTGCACTTGTGCCACCTGATAACCCCAAATTCCAATCAACTTATTTAAGATTTAACCTGGGCCTCTGCAGTAAGAATACTATTACAAAGTAAAGCTATCCCTGTAACAGGCCATGAAGGCCCATAGGGTTGTGAGACATTAAGGGTCCCACATTATCTAGACAATAGGCTCAAAGATGGTGGTAAGGTTGTCAGCCTTACGCGCAGGCCACGCTTTACTCCCCAGGAAAAATCATTTAATTAATTCCTGGTACTCATTTCTGTTAGAGGCTGAGTCAATCCCAGGGCCACAGTGCGGCTGGAAGGATTGGGTCAATTGAAAAAATCCAATGACCTCATCGGGACTTGAACCCACGACCTTCTGGCTTGTAGCATAGTGAAGAATACTATTACAGAACCAAATTGTCCAAATTTATGTTGCAAAACTCCATACCCACAGCATTTCAGTTATGGGGTTTATTTAAGGTTTTCTTAGTAGAATAAGTAACAGAGTACTGAACATGATGATGAATTTGAATGATAATGATTCAGAGAGAATGTGGAAGTGGCTGTGAAGCACTTTAAAGCACTAGATTAACATCTGCCTATGTAAAAAACCAGAATACCCTGAGTCAGGATAGCCAACCTCTCAGCCAAGAATCAAGCTTTGGGCTTCTCAGATACAAAACAAGAGTTATCACTCACATTGAAATGGATGGTGATTGTATGAAAGTGTTTCCTACCTACATAGTAATTTTAAATTTAAATAATAGCAAATGTCCTCTTGAGTTCAAATAATACAGCTTTGCATTGATAATTACCATACCTGTGAGTGTTTGAAATGAGTCCTGAGCATGTTACCAATGTTCTGCGTGTGGGACAAGTCTAATGCAGCATCAACTTCATCAAGGATATATATTGGAGCTGGCTTAAACAACAACATAGCAAGTATAAGGGAGAGGGCAACCAGTGACCTCTGCCCCCCACTCAATTCTCCCAGACTGTCCTTCCAAATTCCACCGAAGCCAACTTTCACCTGAAAAACAAATTCAGATGTGTGTAAAAATAACCACTTTTGAGGGATGCTGAAAACTTTGTATTCTGCACAATTCTACCTTCAGTGTGGCAGAATCCAATTTCTCTCTCCCTCACCCAATTTTATACTCTTTTATGATCAGGTGAAGTGGGACCTGACATGAGGTGACATGCACAAACCACAACAACTGGGCACACTGAAATCCATTCTTTGTATGAAGTGAAGGCACATAAGAGTTGTGCCATCTGTCATTTCCCATGTTCCATCTCCACAACTACTACATGAATTTGGATCAGATTCAGTATTGGACAAATTTAATTTTGATTTGTTATCAGTCCAATATGACTACTACTTTACACACTCAAACTGAGCTATATAAATTCTCTAGATCATATAACAATTCTACACATGAAATTAAACATGTCTCATTGAGCTCTACAACTTCTCTTTCAAACATTTTATATATAGTGAACATTTAATGAAATTACTTACTTACTCACGGGGCTGAGCCCTTCTGGAGGAGCCGCGAATTCTGCAGCTACTCAAGAATTTCCCAACATTTTATGGAACCCGAAGGTTCATTACCATGTTCACAAGAGCCCTCCACTGGTCTGTTCATGTTCGTAACATGAAAATTTAATGAAATACATGAACAAATAATTTCCAGATTATGGAAGTGATGCCTGCAATGTGATTAGTTTCGCAGCATCAATCCAATAATGAATTTTATCAATATCTGTTTGGTTTCAGAGATGTATGGACAGGCACAATCTCCCATTATGCAATCATTTTATATCCTTCCTACAAGCAATGCATAAAAAGGTGGACAAAATCAATCATAGGAATCTCATTCCCTTCGGTTTCAAACACATTCTATCCACTAACTTTAGACAATTTTAACTCGCACATACTTGAGATCATTAGCGAACACTGATAAAACAGGTTACATTATTGGTCCGTTTTCTGTGTACCAAATAGATTTATATTTAATATAAAGTTAGAAACCTCTGATGCACTGATGTTGGCAATATTATATGTGGGATCACCATGACCCAAAAGAAAATTTGTGCAACAACAACAACAACATATGTTTAACAAAATGTCTCCTTTCACATCATTTCAGTTGCAACAAACAGTGAAAAAATGTGTAAACTTTCAAAAAGTAAGGGTGACAGAAGAAAGGCATAGTCTTGTATGGAAATCTAAATTAAAATTCAACATGGTGTACATTATTTCACCAAAGAAGCAAAATCTTTGTTGAATTGTGCTGTTAGAGAAGATGAAAGAACAATGGTACTAGATACAATTACTGGCTTTTTGGACATTATCCATCATCCTGCTTTTTACTTAAAAATATTCTGGAAACTGGACTCTGTCCCCATCCTCAGGTAAGAGCCTACTCAGCTGGGTCAATACAGCTAGTGCCTAGGTAACACGGATGTCAATCAACACCTGACTTTGTATCAATATTGGAGAGGTTCATACTCATACCAATAACACTTACAGTTTTATGGTTATATACCTAATAGCTCAAGTATCTGAGTCAGTTCTGTCTGAAATACTGCTATCATTTTCATTACAAAACTGTTATTGTTATCTACACACTTCTCTTCCAACGAACCAACTGCAGCATCTCCCCTAATATTTTGCAACAAATGGGGAAGTTTCTCAGTACTTATGAATAAAAAAAAGTCATGCTGTTACCATGAAATTACATGACATGCATCAGTGAACATCAATTTCTTCTGATTTGTACACTTAAACATTATGTTGAAAAATGTTTTTGTGTAGATGATATTTGGTCAACATCCCTTAGTATAGGAAGCAGTTCACACATGCTACAAGCTTACATGAAATGTGGAGCAGTTCTAAAATTCTATTTCAAGGTCGACAGCGTGGTAGATCTATTTCCTGAGAAGCCATGGAATTTTGTCTATTTCCATCATTATACACTATTAGTCTTTCTTTGCCAAATACAGGTGCATGTGTGCACTAATTAAATGTTATGCCTTGTGTTTCAAATTGAAGTGTTCATCGCTTAGGCTGATAGTTACAGCATACAGCAATTTATAAAAATGTGCAATAACAAATTATTTTGTGTCAGTCTGCCCATATATTTTCTCTCCAAACTTCATAAATGGAGTAACTTGAGGTATGAGTAACAAAGAAGAAAGAGGTTTACTTTCAAATAGGCTAATGTTATATTTCAGCACACTGTTGCACTGTATAGATCTGACTTAGGGGTTTTTGTGCCATCTAGGTGCAACACTGTTGATTGTTCCTTTATTATTGGAAACTATTTCACTACATGTTTCGGCCTAATTGACCATCTTCAGGTGTACAGATGATGTGGACAAGCATACTGCTGCTCACTGTAATGCGGTTTTTCTTCTTCCAATTGCAGTAGCCTCAGGCTAGTGTCCTTGTCCACAACACCTGTATACCTGAAGATGTCCAGTTAGGCTGGAACATGTATTAAATAGTTTCCAATAATAAAGGAACAATCAACAATGTTGAACACAGATGGTGCAAAAACTCCTAAGTTAGTTCTGATAGGCTACTTAACCCGTTGCCGTGGTTCGTCGTGTATGTTTCGTCAGGGATTTAAATCGTCTGGGGGGGTTCGACGTGTATGTTTCGTCCAGCTGCACACGTATGTTATAACGCCCATAATAATTGATGGTTTTGCTGTAGATTGTTAGATTTTTCACTGGCCTGTTGTCAGGAGGANTTTTATCAATAACTGAAGAATTCCACTATATTATTCCTCACCTCCAGTCCATCCAGAACATCCATGCCTTCAGGGGGCTGAAGACACCCCTGAGCTCCTGGAAGAAGAGTGCTGAAGATTGAACCAAAATCCTTATTAACCTGCTCCCATGCTTTGCGGACAGCCTCCTTTTTCTTTCGGTCCAGCTCTTTGATAACAGTAATAATTTTAACTTTGTCAGCCTCCACAGTCCTTTTCCGTTTCATTAAATCAGCATACTGCAATGTGACCATACCGAAATTACTCAAGTAAGGTGTTCAAAATATTACTCACAAGGAAACTCAGGGTGGATTTAGTGCAGAAAATACTCACTACCATTCAGTTTGAAATATTTTCATTTCTCCATGTCCTATTAAAAAACGTACAGATTAAAATACAGCTAGGTATTGTATTAGTGCAGATAATGAATCCCATGAAGTGGTCACATTATTCAAAGTTATAATTATATGTAAAATATGGTAATTGGTTCCAATTCTATGGAAATAGGCAATGAAAAATTTTAAATGCAAGTAATTATATGTTTATTATAGAAATATTACAATAAATGATAAAAAGAATATACTTATAATTTAAGTGTACTGTTAACAAAGACACAGAGTTGTTACAGCGAGCAAAATTAAAACAAAAAAATTCTATCATTCCCAAAAGAAGCTTACGCTGACGAAAACATCTTTATTGTCTTTCAAAATATTTTAGCAGCGTAGACTGAACTGTTTTCTCTTTCTTTAAATCTTCATACATATGCTTATGGATGCAGAATGCTTTATCTGCATCTCAGCAAATTTGCACTCTTTGATCGTCGTTAGAGTCAGCATCCATAATTCTTTGCTTCACGACTTCTTCAGCCCAAAAGCTATCTTCAAATTGAGGGCAGTTGTAAGCTGGAGGAGTGAGTAATAGAGGGACTTCACTTGAGTTCCGAAGCTCCAAGGGAACAGAAGTGTGGCCAGAAGAACAGAATTAGAGGACTTAGTGTGTGACATTATATGTGCTGTAGTACATTGATATTGGGAGCGTGTAATTTAGTGAGAATTTTGTAGTTCATGTGTTGAGATCTGTTGCCAGAAGACAACTAGTGAAGACAGAGGATCCTAGCGCGTAGGCAATGGTGAACTGTAAATTGTGTAAATACAATAATAGCGCTGTATTAATTGTTATTAAGAGAGACTGTAACCGAAGTGCTAATAAATACAATCATCCGATCTAGAAAATGTTATTTTTGTCACGCATACCCCCCTACACATGACACTGTCATTGTTAACACTCCTGTTCCTTGCAGATTTTTGCAAACCACAAAAAGCTGATGCAACTTCATGTTTTTCTTTTATTTCCCTTGCATGTTTTATAATATTCCATACAGTAGATTCAGGCATTCCAACAGATCTTCCTATTTTTGAGTTGATATGACCACATTCATGTCATTCAATCAACAAATTTCTGCTCTAATGTAATAACGAGCCTCTTCTTTTTACATTCATAGTATTTTTATCTGAAGGACACTTGTTTTTGCCAATTTTATTAAGGCCACTTCTTAAAATGATTAAAACAAATCATGAAAAGTATGTATATTATGACAGGCAGCAGCACATGCACAAGCAAAGATAAACAACTGTAGACTGAAGTAGCAGCATCTAAGACCCTAATGGTAACCTCACCTGTGCATACGCTAGCCTCATATTAACTGAATTTTGGTTCGCATTAAACACGATCTGATATCATTGTACAATTTGCACTAAATCGAATATCGCATCAGTCGAACTCACATTAATCACAACCTAGCTGTATATAAAAATACGGTTTTATCAGTTGCTTTGCATCAGCATGAAACCTGTTTCCTCACTGTTGTTAGGGGAGAATGTCAATCATGGAAATTTGTAGACAAGGTGCTGAGGAAGATATCTGGACTAATAATGGAGAAAATCTCACAATAGGATCATCATAATCTATGCTTTTCATGTAATACTGTTAAAGTGAGTATATCAAGAAGGAAAGGTGGAAAGCATGAGAAATGTACAAAACTTTCAGACGAAACAGCTCATGGGAAGAGAGCGTTGGAGAGGCCTAAGCAAAGATTGGAGTATATTAAAATTAATCTTAGAGAAACAGTATGAAAGTGAGGGTTATATTAAACTGGCGAAAAGGACTATACTTAAGAACTTTTGAGTTCCTGAACAGGATGAGATTTCTGAGCAACTGAATTACTACCAACCCTTAAAACATCCTACACCATGAAGTTTACTATTCAAGGTGTTGAGCAAATAAGAGATTCATGTTATTTGTTGTTCCAGTAATATCAGCTGTGAGCACCAATGAAATACAGTTTGGTGCAGACATGTAATGAAGAATGCATGGCTTTAACAGTGATCTCTTGCACTGGGGAGAACAAAACACTATGTAAATCAAAACAGGAGAACACAAACTATCATATACGGAGGCCAATATTAAGACAATGTCTTAAAATTTATTTGTAACTGCACACTGGTATAGCTAAGACTGAAATAACAGCATAATGAAAAAAAAAAAAAAAGGAATACAGGGGCCAATTTAACAATGAAACATCAGAAGCTTAATAGCATCAAATTTTGAGAGACAGAGATTATGCAATTTGCAATTGGTAAACCTGGAACCAACTTGTACAATAATTGGACCCAAAACACTTCACCTGTTCTTCTTCTTTGCCAAGGAGATTCATGGCCCGTGTATCAATATTGCGACCAAGTTTCTCGCTCTTTTCCTGAAGCTTTACAATGTGCTTCCCAATCTCACGAGGATCCTTTTCTTTGAAGTCATAATTTCCACCTGGATTACCAAAATACCGCTTCTCTTCTTTAATCCAAGAATATTTGTGTTCCAGGGCAGAAACCTAAAACATAAAGTACAGTACATTCCCAATAATTTCGTTTGAGGCTTATCGATGGAACCCTTTCATACAATGCATTCACAATCTTGTGGAATGCCTACTACACTCACCCAGTCCAACAGTCCATCTCAATGTTTGTATGCATGCAACAACTATTTTCATTAAATCTGATACTTATGAATTTTACAAAAAAATTTCATGCCACTTCAATTTTCATTTAGATTGGACAATTTTAACAACTTTACCCAAAACCCTATATGAACTTTTGTGCGCATCTCAAGTGTAATAGAATAAATATTTACAGGAGCAAAAAATGTTAAAAAGTTGTACAGAAAGCTTGATTTAAGATGCAAGTCCTGATGAGGTGGATTTTTCAATTTACCTAATCCTTCCAGCTGCACTACGGCCTTGTGGTCAACTCAGCTCTTCACATATCTTCTTGACACATGACAAATTAAGCACAGGGACAATGAGCCGTTCTAAGGTTTAGCTCGCTCACGTATGATGTCATCATGTTTCCCTTGACGGATTCCATCCCCCACTATGCAGTATCCTGACATCAGTCATGTGGTCCCATGTACCCTCTCGTGAAGGGGAGACTTGTACAGTGCAGTCGTGTAGACCAAGTTGACTTGGAAGGTCGGTTACTAGCCAGCAGGTTTGTTGTGGAAAATACTGGTTTCGGCTGGGTTTGTTCTAAATTCCCTTTTGGTGCTATCTGGCTCGCCGGTAAGGACTGCCCGCGGTCGCAAGCCATTGCTTGAACGCTTGCAACGCGCGTTATTAGATTTGGTTTGGTATTCTTCAGAATTAGACTTGTGTTTGTATAGCCTGAGGGTTTAACGTCCTAATATGTCTAGTGTCGACACAAGTGGCGCCGACGGGAAATTGTTTTGTTCTGAGTGAGCTTGTATTTGTTTTCTCGGTCATATGTGTCGTTTGTTATTTATGTATTGTTATATATATTTTTTTATTAAAATTGTATTTTGTTCTTATCTAAGCCAACGAACTGAGTGTAGCTTCGTCCTCCTAGCTTGGATACCCCATGTCCATCTAGGGGAGCATGGGAACCAACAATAGGGCCAGTAACGACTGCGCTGTGCCCTTCCTCTTCGTAATAATAACAACATAATAATCAGAAGGAGAAGAAGACGAACGGCACGGTGCAACAAATTTATATTCATTTTTCTTTACTACAAATGTGGGCACAATTCCAGGACTGATGCCTTTATAAATAACCATAACTGCACAAAAATTGTCATACAACTGAAAATCAACTGACATGACTCTTCTTGTAAAACAGAACATTCATATTTCGTGCACAAAGACATTTCAGGGCTAGAAACTGATTCTCCAGCTCTTCCTTGCCACAGTCATTATATCATTACATACACTTCTGACATATTAAGATAAATGGGACTGTTTCATTTCCTCCTTATGGAATACTGGGCACATAACAGAGAAGGGAGGGGCACAGGAAATGAATATAAAACACATCTACTATGAATGGGCAGAATATGAATGATAGGATGACAAGAGATCTTGCATGAGTGAGCTTCAATGGGTGAATGAAACATGACTGTACAGAGACTCTGTTCTTGTAAATCTGACAGCTGAATATTACCAGTACTGCAGTGTGTGAGGTGTGTGAGGGCTTATCTCATGCAAGATGTCAGGTACTAATCCATGTACCATGCAGTCAAGTTTCATTTCAACTGATCTCCAAAGAAAAATTCTCTGACAGGTCCTATTGAATAATATTTCATACTTATTTCCTTCAATTTTAACTCTAGAGATTTATCGTGATTATGTTTCGAATGATAATTATATCAGGGTCAGCTTATTTGTTACTGAAATACTGAACTTTCAGTAAGACAATTTTGTTTAGTCTTCCTGATTTAAAAAGAAATGTGCACTTAAATATTTGAAGTTAGAAGCTACTTTATGGCAAAATTTGATGTTAAAAATTTTGGTTTTCACACACCACCATCAAAACAGCTTGGATGTTAGAGCTCTTACCTTTGAATTACATTCTTTAGAATCAGCCTGAATTTTGGCAGCTTCATGTTCAAGTTTCTTAATTTCCAGCTCAAAGTCACCATTGTCTTTGATGATTTTCTCTTTCCTTTGTTCTATTTGTTGAATTTCTTTAGTTATTGCAGTGAAAGTTCCCTTCTGTGCCTTCACTTCACTCATAAATTTCTGAACACTGGCCTGTTGCACAAAAAAAATTATACAATTTGAGGTACAATACTGATCAATCATTATGGACCAACCACCAACCAATCTCCCATAACTCTCCTGAATAAAAATACAGATGACAGGCAAACTACAGATAAGTGAATTTATTTTGTAGTCAAAATCTGCTATTGTGACACCTGACAAACAAAACAAAATACCTGGAAACAAATTTGCGTTACACCCATTTCATAGGTTCAGGAAACAAAATAGTAAAGGACCAAAGAGAAATATGACGAGGGACTTCATAATTTGTACCCTTCACCGATTATATTGTTATGGTGAAGAAGCGAAAGGGGATGTGATGGGAAGGAGATGTTGACGACATTGGGAAAATGAAAAGAGAATATAAAGTGGTTGGAAAACAAGAAGGCAAGACACCACGTAACAGGCCTTTAGAGGTAGAGGGGAAAGGTAACGGTTAAAGTTGATATTATATTTAAGCATCCTATTGCACTCTATACGATATAACTCCGTCTTAAGTGCATACTATATATTATATGTCTTTCGTTTTGCTCTTTTTTACACACTACATGTTTCGGCCACAGACAGCCATCATCAGGTGTATCTGCTACACTGCACTTATTTATAACATTTAAAAATTAAAAACATAGATCTTCCTGATTGTTCACTTTCGTTGCTATTACCAAAATCTACTTCGTTGATAGCTTTGTTATTTACACACGTCAATTTTGATTTCTTTGAATTAGCACTTATAAAATCTCCAGTTCTACTTTTTGAATCCTTTAAAAATTTTTCTCTACATTTTAAAATTTAAAATTGTCAGGGTTGCTCGCCCTATGTCTATAGTGCTGCAGCGGCTTCTTCTTGTATCTATTACTGTAAAGGTTTTATCTGTAATATACAACTATATTGGTATTATTATCTTATGTACGTAATGTTTTCTTATATTGTTATTTGTACTTACTCTGTGTAGTCTTCCTGTGTGTGTGCCGCTGCTANTTTACTTACTTTATATATATGGTATTTCTCTAATGTATTCAAATGTCTGCCCTTCTTTCCCGTTGTTACAACTTCCATTACCTCTGTTATTGTTCCGTATGCATGTCCTGTATTTAGTATGTGATTTGAGTACCCGGAATTGCTATTATTATTTCTAATATCATGTATATGTTCTTTATGTCTGGTGTTAAATATATTGGGCAAATGGGCAGAACATTTAACACTAGATATAAAGAACATATACATGATATTAGAAATAATAATAGCAATTTTAAAATGTAGAGAAAATTTTTTAAAGGATTTGAAAAGTAGAATTGAAGATTTTTATAAGTGCTAATTCAAAGAAATCAAAATTGACGTGTGTAAATAACAAAGATATCAACGAAGAAGATTTTGGTAATAGCAACGAAAGTGAAGAATCAGGAAGACCTATGTTTTTAATTTTTAAATGTTATAAATAAGTGCAGTGTAGCAGATACGTGAGTGTATACACCTGATGATGGCCGTCTGTGGCCGAAACATGTAGTGTGTAAGAAAGAGCAAAATTAAAGTTGATCTTAGAGACATTTGGTACCTAAAGGCTGACTGGACTGATTTGGTCCAATGGGTCCAATAGCAGACTTCTGAGAACCCTGTGATGGACCTTTAGGTTCCATAAAAAGATTGCATTTGAAGCAAGATATGCTTTAATGATAGGATACTGGAACAAATCACTACATTCAATTATGTGGGATATACTATATCCTATGAGGGAGGAAAGGATTTGAATGCATAAACTGTAAATTGAGGGGAAACTGAAGGATTTTTTTAATATCTGTAACAGGTCTCAATACTGTAAATGATGATTATGATGATTAGCAATGGTGAACTCCATAATGTAGTACTCAAATGAAAAGGGCGTACTCCATAACATGGTACTCAAAATTCTCAATGGTGTTGATTAAATTTACTTACCACCTGTTTATTAAACTTAACCGTTCAGCGTTGTTTGACGTGTATGTTTCGTCAAGGTATTTAAATCGTCTGCGGGGGTTTGACGTCAATGTTTCGTCCAGCTGCACACCTATGTTATAACGCCCATAATAATTGATGGTTTTGCCGTAGATTGTTAGATTTTTCGCTGGCCTGTTGTCAGTAGTTCAGAGTATTATAAGCCACGAGTTTTGCTGCGCTTAGTCATCGTTACATATGCCTGTCTTGCAGCAAATTTCCTGTTGCTCTTGGGAGAAGTTCCTCCGTTGTACTGTTATGAAAGGCGTATATTCTTTCCTATGCATTTATAAACAGCAGAGACGTGATATGTCCTGTGTTTATAATATCATATTGCCCTGAGCTGGCCACACTAACACACTCAATTGGAATTCTTAGAAGAGGGTTATCCAAAATTTATTCTTCCAACATCGATTGATTTCGCACAGTACATGGCAGCCAGTTCTTAGAAAAACGCCACAAATTAAGGCAGAACACTGTGGTCACCCCCTGTGACGATGGGTGTGTGTGTGT